CTTCTATGAAATTTTTATCTCCCAGGTAAGCCATGGACATAGAGAGCATTCTTTTGACTTCTTGCCTAAAGAGAGCCACAGCAAACCCAGAGGTCTATGTCACGACCTGAAAACACCAATACACTACATACAAAGAACCCATCCTGACAGACACAGGATTAAGATGCTGCTTCTATAAAACAAAATTTGTACACACAACAGCATGTACATCACAGAGGCCATTTTATCATCTGGATGGTCTGGGCTGCCCCAGCATCCATACAGCCTAAAGGGTGGTCAGATTATGTGGGAGACATTTGTGGGATAACAGTAAAGTGATAGAGGTTGTATGACTATGGCTGTGCAACAAGGACAAGGACTTTTACAATGCTGGTATACATGCTTGAGATCACCAGTGGAAGACAAACATTAAGACAGAGAATAAGACTATTATGAAAACTTGCTACGTGCTCAGCAATGACGTACAAGTTTTCTGTGCAAATTTAATATACTGTTCATTAATATCTGGCTGAGAATAAAGAACAGGAGGTATTATCTCTCTGACTGACCCTGGCATCTATCATCCAACCCATCTTGTTTAAAGTAATGTGTTACTTAAAACTAGACTGGAAACAAGAATGTAACAGATGCATATAATAGGTTACATAGTAAACACATCCATCAGGAACTGTTTTGTTTTTTTGTTTGTTTGTTTGTTTGTTTTTGTTTTTTTACTATTCAGCCTACATTTTCCCCTTTTTAAGATTCCTTCCTATTTCTACACAATTTTTCTCCATCTTTAGTCTATTAAAGCACCCACAGATTTATATTAATCAGTTTATCATTAAACAAACCACATGTTCATACTTCATATGTTTATCTGTTTCTCTTTATACTTCTGTCGTGAGTAGGAGTCTACTCTGTGATCTACCCACAAACATTTGTAAGTACACCCATGATTTAGGTAAAGTTCTAATTCCATGGTCATTTTGTGGTGGCCCCACCCCTCAGCACTGATTGTGGAGAGGCCCCATGCTTCAGTGCTGACTGGGGGGAGAGGGGCAGACAACAGGGTGGCTACCATCTTGATTGTTGGCCACCCTTCTTGGATCCCTGCCCCTTGGCACTGATCAACACAGAGGTCCTGGCAGGGGAAGGAGGGGGCAGCCACCATCTTGTCTGCTGCCTTTGCGCCATCCTGCCAGCTGGCACCTTCCCCTCCTGGCAGGGAGAACTGCTGGCTCCCACTAGGAAGACAGCATTTTGGTTTTATTCAGTTTTTCTTTTGAATGATTTTACAGACAATCATATATTTTGCAATTTCCGCAAAATCCATGAAACTGTAAATTAAGTAGGTCCGTACTCACAAGTCAATTCCTTCAGCTTCCTGATGATTTCTGCTGCTCTCTTACAAATTCCCTTTGGGTTCTATTGTATTCTATATAACAAAACAACTCTATTACATCCGATTTACCTATTCTGTTTTCTACCCATGCTTTCCTTCCTATTGGACTAAACAGGGGGAAGTACATGGCAACTTTTTCTAGCTTCTTCAAACTGCAGAAGACATTTCACAAAGGATACAAAAAGAAAACAGGATCCTCAGCAGAAGTGCTAGAAAAGGTGACTGGAAAAGCAAACACCAATGTCTGTCTGGGTCTGCAGGCAGCCCTATCGATTAAGCAAGGAAAGAGAATACCTTCTATATAGGGGATTAAACTGCAGATATTAACAGTCACTTATTTCTAAACCACAGCATCCTCAGAGGGATTTAAGGTACTTTAACTTCTGTACATTTAATAACATTAATGGAATGAATTAAAAATTACTTAATTGATCTGCATTTCCTGAGTGTCCCATGCAGACAAGTCCTTAAAATCATGAAAGTGGTAAAAAGGAGCCCACATACAAAATCACAGGTATCTCCTGATCCTAAGGCCATGCAAATGTTTATTTCATACAATCTTGTTTAACAAATTCAAAAACAGTCAACTATGAGACTACTCCATTTGGAAAGATGCCAGTTTAGTTATCAATTACATTATTATTTTATTATTGTTTATTATTATAAAAGACCTCTAAGCCTGAACAATAAAATCTTATTTGACAATTTATCTTGCATATGGATTTGCAGATTGACTAACCACAAAAAAGAAGCCACTGGTACAATCCAGTTGGATGCTGTTCCCTGTATCTGCTCACTGAATAGACAGCACAGGCAATTCATATATTAGGATGGAAATAAGTGAAGCTGCATTTAATATTTTTAGCAACATTTTAGTTTGTTGGAAAGAGCAGACCCACTTGATAATGTCTGACTGCTTACAATTTGAATTTTATCAAGCTTATTCAGGAAATAAGTGTTTAGTCAGTGCTTTAAAATTAAAAAAAAATAATTCCAAACTGTTCAGGTCTGACAATCGTTTCAGACAAAATAGACTACAACATGAGGGGAGTTTTCCCCTAATTAAGTCCAACTATCCCAACTTCATGTTACATATTTCCTGACACCTAATCAACAGGAGTAGCCTGTATTTACATGTAAAGCATTATTTTTAATATTTGACTTCTAAAAATAGGTCTTCTTCAGTTTACACTCTGAATGGATAAAGTGAGTTAATACAAACATACTATTTGCCTCTAATGTTAATGATGATGATTCTGGTTAACATCAGATTAAATTTAGTGAAGTTGTATTTAAAAAGTAACACGTCAGCATGTACAAGGCGTACTTTAAAAACATTCGAAGTCAGATTAATGCAGTTACCTGAAGGCTCCATAAAGCGGTCTGTACCAGCAGACAAATGAACAAGGAGTAAAAAGCAAGAACCAGAGGATACTCAATCCAAAGTCAACCCCTCGTCTAGGATCAACACAAAACCAGGCCAAACACCCAAAGATATTTAGAAAGAGTGTCACTGCATGGACTGTAAAAACAAAACAATTAATTTGTATTAAACTTTGTATATGCAGAAAATAAGTCAGTGGTTTTCAACTTTTTTTCATTTACAGACCCCCAAAAAAGTTTGGAATGGTAGTACAGACTGCTTTGGAAATTTTGAATGGAGGTTGGATATTTGAATTGTAAATGAGTGCATTCACATACTTCTGACTGATCATAGCCATCTTTCACAGACCCCTTTAGACACAGCCTGCAGACCCACAAAGGTCCACAGACCACAGGTTGAAAACCACCGATTTAAGCAGTACTCATGTTAAGATCTTTTAAACAGATAAATCCACATTATTCTTATATCAACATCCCATCTCTAATATGCCAGTCTACTAGTTTTACAATTTGTTAACTTTGGTTAAGAAAGAACTCTGAGTGTAAGTTAGTACTAGGCACATACAGCATGGACAAAAGTTAGCTTTCATAAATATAAAACATTAAGCCCGAGACAACAGATAGTAGGATTACTACTGCAAGTGAACTTCTGAAAGCCCTCTCAACTGCAGCAGCTGGCACTTCTACAGTAATTACTGGATACAGATACTTGCAGATATCATCTTATGCTATTCAATTATTTCCTCTGGAAGTCAGACCAGTAAATATGCATAAGAATCTCACCTGCCCTATAATTAGATATGCTGAAGGCCTATGGTGTCATAGTTATTTTTTAAAAAGCCTTCTTATAAACTATACAAAGAAGCCGGAATTTAGTATATGCTTGCTACGTGAAAGGAAAGCATTACAAAAACTCTTTTCACTAAAATGTTAAGGTAGTGTTTCAAATGGAAAAAAGCAAAATAAATTTCTAATGCAAACATATTATTTCACAACGAAACAAAGCTATGAGGAATAATTCTCTAAGTTAATTCATATTGTAGGTATGCGTTTGTTATGGGTTGGGTTTTTTCGTTTTTTTACGACAGGCTTGAGAACTCTACCATTTTACCTTCCCTCTCACCTGTTCTCTCAGCTCTAAAGCGTCCAGCACTCTAGTTTACAAAAGCTATTAGATGCTAGACTTATATGCTTGACTAAATATATTAGAGCAACATTATGACTGAAGAATTAATGAAAATGTATTTAAGATTATTCCAAACAGAGAAAACACAGCGAGTAACAGACATTATAACCCTTCACCCCATGCTGCCATGGAACAGCAACATTGCATGCAATGGTATTGGCTTCCAGAGCAGCAATTCTCAACCAGGGCCCCTTGAGATCCTTTCAAAGGGTGCCACAATGTTAGCACTGCTAGGTGTACAAACATGATTCACAAGATAAACCCAGAGATTTAAATAGGAATCGATAATGTTAAAAACACATTCCAACTTGCTGTGGTCTTTTTTTATTTTATTTTATTTTTTTAACTACAGGAAGTGGAAACTAAAAGCTCGCACTTTCCAAGGGATGCCTCAAGCCTATCCAGGCACGCCTCAAGTCTAAAAAGGTTGAGAAACACTGTCCTATAAGCTAAAAAGACACCATACTTGTGTCAGTTCAGCATTGTTCAGTGACCAATTCAAGAACAATTTTGCCAACTCAGGGGAGCCTTTTGCCCTTGTGGATGCTGTGAAAATTATAATGACATGGCATTGTCATATCAAACAATACTGGAAAGTATCTTCAGTTTTTTTCCCCTCCAACATGTTTTTTCCTAAAATTCATGGAAATATTTTTAATGTTTACATTAGCTTCTGACAAACTGCCTACAAAACCTTATGGCTCTCTAAACCAGGTAGTTTCTAAGGTGCCATCCCGCCCTGCCTTCTGCCCAATTGTTATATTATATTATTGATTATGGCATGCTATAAGCCTGCTAGCTTTTCAGTAGACAAGCAAGTGAAATGCTTAAAGTTCTGTTTTTGTTCACAGTTACTTAAAATATAATAGCAGAAAAGAACTGTTAACTATTAACTGCACTATCCTCTGAATTAAAGGATGAAAGTATTCACAGCTCCTTTATCTTGCTCTGCAAAGGTCCCCAAATTTCAAGTTAGTCCTATTTCTAAAATACGTAAGCAGAAAATCTGACTATAAATGAAAATGTTTTATGAGTTTTCGTATGCATTATGCTTTTTTTTTTTTTTTTAATAGAAGTCTGAAAAAATCTTGTGCATTTCAAAATTTATATATATAGTGGTTGCTTATTTTTTTTTTTTTTTTAATAGAAGTCTGAAAAAATCTTGTGCATTTCAAAATTTATATATATAGTGGTGACTTAGGTTTATATTCTTTTTGGTATATATATACACCAAATAAATAAACTGTCACAAAGAATATAAACCTAAGTCACCACTATATAGCCTTCGATGGATACAAGAGTTTGCAGACAAATTTCAGAACCTGAAAAAGTGTACTACTCTAGTTACCACTGGAAGACTCTCTAAGCTAATGAAAGCTACTATCACCCATTTCTGCAGAGCTGAACTTCCAGATAAAAGTTCAATTTATAAACTTTGCAGTTAAATCAATGCAGAAAGGAGCTGAAAACAGTTTAATTATCTCTGTTGATGATCGCAGCAGTAGCAAAGTGAAGCTTAAAATATACTGGTCCATTCCCCATAATTAAGAACTTGTGAACTGAACTACAGCATCATTTCCATTATACCTGTGCAAGTGACCTAGATTTTCGAGTAGATGCTGCCATTAGAACAGGGGTGGGCAAAATGTGGCCCACAGGCTGAATCCGGCTCAGCGAGAGATTTGGTCCAGCCCACGGAAGGTCCCTCGGTTCTCCCTGACCCAGGCACAGGGGGCAGCTTAAGCTATAGCACACAAGGCTGGTCCCGCTGCCCCCAGGGCGTGCAGCGGGACTGGGTCAATGCAATGGCTGAACTCCATTTCCTGGCAGCCCCAGTGACAGCAACTCCTTCCAGCTGCCACAGCCACCAAACCAGCCTCACTGCCCTGCCACCCCAGTCCATCTGCCCTGCACCCACTGCTGGGAATGGAACCTCCATGGTCCAGACACCTGGTTGGGCAGCTGAGATGGGGCCATATGCAAGCAGCGAGCTGTGTCTGGGAGCAAGACAAACAGGCAGGGCCAGGAAGACCCCAGGATCTTGGGGTGGTGAGTGTGGTGCCGGGGGCACACTCACAATCAGCTGCCCATACAACCCTGCAACAGGCATGCATTCTGCAGGCAGGAGTGTGCAGGGAACAGATCACAGCTCTACCCCAGCCCCATACTATCACTACCCCAAGATCCTGGCCCCGGCTCCAGATGCAGCTTCCCATCTGTCCATGGCCCCATCGTGTCTGCCCACCCACATACCGTGCACACACAGCTCTCAGCCAGTCTCCATGGAGACACCAGGATTGTGGGACACTGACAGAGCATTGAGCCAGGGCTGATCCCATTCTGCAGGTAGGGACATGCAGGGAGCAGGTCACTTCTGCCCTGGCCCCATGCTGTCACCACCCTGCAATCCCAGGGTCTCCATGCAAGGAAGGCACACAGCTGGATGGAGAAGATGGGACCATAGCCAGGCGGGGAGCTGTGTCTGGGACTGGGGCTGAAATCCTGGGGTGGTGACAGCGCAGGGCTGGGGCCCAGGTCAGAGCCACAATCTGTACCCTCCATGCCCCTGCCCATGGAACTGGTGCCCACTGCAGGGGTGTACAGGCAGCAGATCATGGCTCTGCTCTGGGCCCCAGCCCTGCGCTGTCATCATCCCACAACCCTGGCCTTGTCCTTCCATAGTTTCATAGTTAGTAGGGTTGGAAGGGACCTGAGCAGATCATCAAGTCCGACCCCCTACCATGGCAGGAAAGAGTACTGGGGTCAAACGACCTCAGCAAGGTCATTGTCTAGCCTCCTCTTAAAGACCCCCAGGGTAGGAGCCAGCACCACTTCTCTTGGAAGTTGGTTCCAGATCCTAGCCGCCCTGACAGTGAACTCTGTGAAGTAGTGCCACCTGATGTCTAGGCTGAATCTACCCTCTGCCAGCTTGTGACCGTTATTTCTAGTCACTCCTGGCAGTGCTCAGGGGAACAGGGACTTCCCCAGTGCCTGCTGGTCCCTTCTGACTAGTTTGTAAACAGCCACCAGATCCCCCCTCAGCCTTCTCTTGTGGAGGCTGAATAGGTTCAGGTCCCGTAGCCTCTCCTCGTAGGGCCTGCCCTGCTGCCCCCTGATCCTGTGGGTGGCCCTCCTCTGGATCCTCTCCATGTTGTCCACATCCCTCTTGAAGTGCGGCGCCCAGAACTGGACGCGGTACTCCACCTGCGGCCTGACCAGTGTCGCATAGAGGGGGAGGATCACCTCCTTGAACCTGCTTGAGATGCATCTGTGGATGCATGACAAGGTATGGTTGGCCTTCCTGATTGCTTCCCCACGCTGTCGGCCCCGCTTCCTCACACTGTCGGCCCATGTTCATTTTGGCATCAATAATGACTCCAAGAGCCTTTTCTGCCTCTGCACTGACAAGAAGAGAGTTCCCCAGCTTGTAGGTATGCTGCTGGTTCTTCCCCCCCACTTCCATCCCACTCCCAAACAGTGCTCCCTATCCCACACACTATGTTTTGGTGAGCTGATGGAAAGGAGGGATGACACTGATCAGGCCCACATAATTGCCCATTCCTGTATTAGACCCACCAATGGTGTCTTCCTTCTAGTTCTGCAAGCCAAAAAATAGGCATCCAGACACTCAGGCAGCATTACCATCAGACTTCACCAAAAGCTCTTTTACTTCTTTTTTTCTGTCTGCCTCCAATTTTGATTTAGGTAAATTTAAGCTCTTTATAATAGTTTTGAGGACCTTTTCCCTAATTTAGCTCTTTGAATTTAGCCCTGGTAACTGAAAAAGAGATTGCTATCAGATAACCTAAATTAACTATTGCTCAACTACAAGGCATAGTTGTACCAGCTATATTAGTTTTATTATACTGTTAAAGAAACTGGTCCATTTATGCCAGTAACACTCCTGCATGTGAACACATCTTTGATACTCAGATGCAGAAGGAAGTTAACAAGAGGCAAAGGGGAGCAGCACACTAGTTTCTCTACAGTAACTGCAAGTGCAGTCCTTGGTAAAGGAAAGCTAATTCAAAGCTAGTTACCCCTCTTTCATGGGAGGCTAAACTTCCCTAGGTTAGCTCTTATTTAACTGACTCCACCAAGGCAGTTACTGTGGAGCAGCTAGCTTGAAATGGAGCCCTGCTACCTTTTGCCCCAGGGTAATTTGTTCACTGGCACATACAATCAGGTTATAGAACTTTCCTGGGCAGCAGAGTCCTTACTGGATGTGAACCTCAACCATAATTAATGCTGTATTAAAATTTTGTTCGGCCTGATTTCCCTTTCAAACACCAAGGCCCCCCCACCACAAGTAAAGTATCTTGCACTACTGCCGCCTGATCTACACCTAATTTTGAACATGAACAGAAGCTCTCACTGTGCAAAACAATCTATCTGCTATCTTTGATGAAGAAAATACCCTAAACATATTGCCAGCAGCTTAAGGGAAGTGATTCTTCCCCTCTATTCAGCACTGGTGAAGCCACATCTGGAGAACTGTGTTCAGTTTTGGGCACCCTGCTACAGAAAAGCAGCAGACAAATTGGAGAGAGTCCAGCAGAGGGCAACAAAACTGGTGAGGGAGCTGGGGGATGTCACTTCTGAGGAGAGGCTGAGGGAATTGGGCTTATTTAGTATAGAGAAGAGGAGACAGAGGGGATTTAATAGCAGCCTTCAACTACTTGAAGGGGTGAGTTCAAAAGAGGATGGCACTAGACAGTTCAGTGGTGGCAGATGACAGAACAAGGAGCTAAAGTCTCAAGTTCCAGCAAGGGAAGGTTAGGGTAGATATTAGGAACAATTTGCTCACTAGGAGGGTAGTAAAACGCTGAAACAAAGTTACCCAGAGAGGTAATCGAATTTCCATCTTTGGAGGTTTTCAAGACCTGGAAAGACAAAGCCTTGGCTGGGATGATCTAGTTGGGGATGGTCTTGCTTTGAGCAGGGGGTTGGACTAGATGATCTCCTGAGGTCCCTTCCAACTCTCATTTTCTATGATTCTATGATAAAAGAAGCAATGAGTCAGCCAGGCTGCCACTCTACACATTCAGTGCCCATGAAATAGAAGAAATGGCATCAGACAAGCTCAGGACAAAGCTAATGAAGGCTGGCCACATTATACAAAGGCAGACTGCACCACAGGCAAAAGCAGCTTCAGCTGCAGTTTTCCCCTTTTTGCCCTCACATGTTTCATCATGTTAAGTCTTCAGAACAAGACAGAAGTTTATAAACACACTTAACCTCCAATAGATGCAAGCTCATGATGGGGGAAAATGGATTCAGAGAGGGCAGTAGGTTACTTCATTCAGTTTGAAAATGGACCCTGTGGGAAGCTGAAAAACACTTTTCCACAAAGACCTGCAAGTTTGGTGGACAGCTAATGATAGTTCAGGTTTGTCCACTCTCCTAAATGAAGTCATTACATGAAGGAAGACACTCTTAGAAAAAGGGACAAACTGTAAAGTCTATTCTTCAGCAAAATAAACCTGGGAGTCCCACCAGAATCAGGATGAAATGTTTGCTTTTGAGGCCAGTTTCAACTCTTGTGTCTGGAGGATATCTGAGACACTCCAAGGAGAGACAGGGTCACAGCACCTGTAATGTCAAAACAGGCCAGGAAAACATTTCAGAAGACCACACTGCTCTCCAGGCAGCCCATAATTTCAAAGGAACCATTTTCAAAGTGGCCCTCCTGACATAGGGTTGTTTAAAATGCAATCAATCTGAGAAGAAAATGGTTGAAGAGCACAGGCCTTTCATACAATACCTTCAGATATGGGATTGGGGCATAAGAAAGCGGGTGCTTACTATTGAGATCTTAAGGTCAGCAGCAAAGAGGGCAACCACCATGTAGTCAGCAAAAAAATCACACAATTTCGCCTATATGTAAAAGTGGAGGGAAGCAGCACCCATATTCAACAGCGATGTAAAAGACAGTTTAGGGGTTGGGGATGCAAGAATACAGACATGAAAACTTGGCAAACACCATCAAGATATACTAATCGAAGGGAGCATGCTCCTGACTGAGGTAAATAAAACTCTGAAGATTAAGAAATCAAGACCTAGTCTGCCAGCAGTTTGGGAATGAGGAAGCCTGCAAGGATATTATTGTAACCCTCCAACACAGGGCCCCCAGCCAAAAAAAAAAAAAAAAAAAGTTTTCACCTATTTTTTGGGAAGTGGGGTTGAAACCCAAAGTGAAAGTAGCTATTACTAAAGGTAAACTGCAGAAAGTCCCACTGCAGTGGAAAGATATGGTAAGCTTAAAAAATAAGAGGACCTACAGCTGGATTTACAGGAACGAAGTCTGTTAACATTCCATTCAGCAGTCCACAGACCTGTGGAGGCCAAGAAGTTTCTGAAAAGCAGATAAATCATGGACAAAGCTGCAAGCCAAAGCAGGCATGATGGTTTCCTAAAACAAGTGCCTCTACTGAAGAAGCTCCATCACTCCAAATGCAAGGATCAGACCATCTGGACATCCTCCCAAAAAGCATGATTCACAAAGCCAGCTCTAATTGAGATGATTTGCTACCTGGGCTGAGAGCACTGTTAAGTTCTTTAACCCTTTTCTTGGCCTGAAGCAGATTCCTCAGGTTTCTTCCTTGTCCTCTATCCTTTTCCCCTTTCTTCCTTAATGTCCCTGAAAAATCGGAAAAAGGCAACACCAGGCTGAAGTAAACAGAGTACCAGGGAGTTCAATTAAAACCTTCGGCCTCCAAGGTGAGTGAGGAGGTTTACTTGAGACAAATAATTGCAGCAAGGCTTCAGAACTTAAATGGTTCAAGTTAGAAGCTAATACTATTTGAAACTCTGTAATGTAAATTTTCAGATTAAATATAGATCTTAAACCTATATCTTACCTACAAAATTACTCTAAAAATTCCTGCAGAATACAATGATGGAGTGAACATGGGGGTGGGGGAGAAGAGTAGGGCAGGGTGGTACCTTAGAAACTAACTGGCTCAGAGAGGCATGAGATTTCTACGCTTTTGCCAATATGGATAATACACTTCTGGTAAAAGTATGCTATACTATACAAATCCTGCTTTTTGAATATTCCCTGGGCCAACACAGCAAAAACACCACCACATTAATTTACCTTTTCCAAGATACTAAATCTGCATCTACTTGTAGGCAAATTATTATATATGCATAATATTTGTAATTAAGGCTACATGTCCTAAAAATGTAAATTCTTCTGTAATTGGGAATGTTAAGAAAAGTTTCTTAAATGGAATTAAGGAACAGCAATCAAGTTTTTAAACTAAAAAAGTGTCTGACAATGAGGACAATATTTAAAAAGGCACACACAAGAGCAGCTCTATATACAAATTAAGGTAATTTTCCTTATATAACATCTAATTATTTTGATTACTTTTAAAATTAAGTTAGAAAGATTTCTGTTATAGTTTTCTGTACCACCTTTTACCAAAATACCTATTTTCTTGCAAAGGGAAAAGCTCTTTTAAAGTGTGGAATCCTGTGCAAAATGTTTTTAAAAAAATGTAAGAAATAAGCCTGTAGTCTCTCAAAATAACAACTGTCCAAAACACACAGATTTTTTTCAATATCCCATTTTACATCGGCTCTCAACAAGTCTAAATGTAAATGTAAAAATAAGGTATATATAATGTTAAAGTTTGAGTAGGCTTTTTTACTTACACATCCACAAATAGTACATAATCTTTACTGTCTTCTGGAATTCTACAGGAATGTCTACAGAAAAATCCTGGTAGAAACATGGACCCACTGGAAGATTCTCAGGCAGAGGTGGCCAATTATTTTTCCTGCCTGCGAGAGGAAAAAAAAAGTGTTCATAATAAAATGTTAGTTTTCTATTTTTCTTTCTGCATACAAAGGTATCTGCTTATTAATTCAGTAATTACTCTGTTCTCAACCAAGTTTACAGACATTACTCCGACAGATCTATTGATAATTTATCCTTAAAAAACAGAAGTTACCAGTAATTCTCAAACAATATGAAAGGTTAACTCTAGAGGTACTAGTATAATGGAAAATAGTTGGAAGGAGAACAGGGTCTGGTTGTCTGTGTAAAAAACAGCAGATATCAGATAGTGTCATGAAAAAATAAAAGAAGTTGTTTCCAAAATGTTTCAAGTTCAAGCAAATGCAGAAGAGATTCCTGAAATGCCCTGAATTTACAACTTGTGTAAATGTCCCTTTTCCAGTCCAGGGGAGTCAAACTCATGCAGTATCACAGGCCAGCTGAAGGTTACTGGGTAGTCTGTGTGCTGGACTGGAGTAGACCCCTCTGTGCAGTGCCCACAGTGACTGCAGAAACCACACATGCACATGGGGCCAGCACAGGGCACTTGCTACCTGAAGCATGGGGGCTGGACCTAGCACTGCAAGCAACACAGAAGGTCTGGCTTGGGGCACCGAAGGCATGCTGCAAGTCATGGGCAGTGTACACCCTGTGCCAGCGCTACCTGCACAGTGAGCCTTGGGGCCTGGACTGGCTGTGCACCCTGCACACAGCACAGGGCAGAGGGGGTACATGCTCTATATGGTAGCACCCCAGACCAGCCCTTCATGCTGGTTTTGACATGGTCTATTATGGACCAGCCTCAGAGCCAACATACAAGGGCAGTCCAGCAGGGTGCAGCATGCATACACACCTCAGACTGCCCCATGATGTATACAGGGCATGCAGCACAGGGTCCAGCCCACATGGCAAGCAGTGCACAAGGCTAGGACTCAGGCATGGGTTCAGCCCAGCAACTCAAAGACCAAATCATATGGCTTCCCAGGCTGAATGCTCGACACCTGTTCTAGTCCATGTTCAGCAAGGTCCTAAAAAACTGGCAAACAAGTAGCACCCTGTACACAGTGTCCTAGGCTAGTGGTCAGCAACCTATGGCCTACAAGCCTGATCAACCTGTGGGGCTGAAGTTTTATTAGTATTTGGCAGCAGGAGCTTTGCCTATATTGCGTTGTCATGCCCTGCAGCTGGGCAGCCAGGAGAAACAGTCAGGGGACAAAAGCTAGGTTCCAGCACCAGCCTGCCTCAGATCAGAGATGGGCCATTATATTCTGCCACCAGAAAAAGTTGATGACTGCTCTCCTAGACTGACTGAGATGACCAGTGCTGAGAAGCATATCTACTATTAAGGGGTGTGCAAAGCAAGTGGTATTCGATTCGGATTTGGCGCAGTTTGGGGGACACTGATTTGATTTGCTGATTCAGATCACTGTTCCGATCTGATTCGGCTGAATCTGAAGATTCGATTCCGATTCAGCGAATCAGCGATTCAGCCATAGACACAGTTTCATACGTTTTTTCTACGTACCTTGAGGTAGCAGGAGACCAGGAAGTAGACCAGAAGTACTTTTGGTCCACTTCCGGGTCCGCTGCCATGCATGCAGGGACCCTCCTGTGCTCCTGGTGGGACACTTCATCCACCCACCATCTCAGTGTTCACAAGCCATGCCTGGTACCTCGAGGTACATAGAAAAAAAACAAAACAAAACATATAAAGCTGTGTCTATGGCTGAATCATCGAATCGCTGAGTCCATTTGGAGGTTTCCGATTCAATTTGGAGAGATCAATGGGTTTCCTGATTTGATCTGGAGATTCAGCTGCCGAATTTGGTCAAATCTCATCCTCTTGTGCCCCTGTTTTCCTCTCAGGCTTTTCTTAATTCTATACCTGTGAGCAAAAAAGACCCAGAACTACACATGGTCATGGCACGGGTTTATGGTTTGAGCTTTCCTTTTCACATACAAATGCAAAGAAAAGCTGTTTATCAAGTAAGCTGTTCTCTGCTATGATGCAGCAAGAAACTCAGTGACAGAGGCTTACACCAAGTTTTAGCTAACTTTTGAAAAACTGTGTTACAAAGTGAGGGTACTGCTAAACAAAGACACAGAACAAGTCACAGCCTGGATTTCCCACAGCATGGCCCAGTTACGAGCTAAAGAAAAAAAAGTACCACTTTATATCACCATAATGATCACTTGTTCATTTTTTCTGTGCCTTTCTATTTATGTTTTATTTTCCAGTGTTCTTATTTATCACTCCTCTCTCACAAATATTCTAGAGATTTATCACATAGCCCTCTGTGAAAAAGTAAGCTAGAGCATTACTTCCATCAGAATTCAATCTGTAAGTGTGGTATATTGAAATTCACAGGTGCATCAGAAAATCATCCTAATGACACTCAAGTTGTTGATGACTAAAGAACATTAGTGTTGCTGTTTTTAATTTGGTAATTTTTTTTCAAAATACTAAACTTATGGCTGAGACAACTCAATGAGAACACCTGACATCAAAGGCTTTCATGTTTTGTCTCCACCTACTGATTGAAGAGAACTATAATCCATGACCCTTGTCCAGGTGTGCAAAAAAGTGCATCGAGTTAACACTATTCAGTCTAATATTGTTTAATTAACCTTAACCCGTCTATCTCCCCGATGCAAACAAAGTCAGTTACCATGACTTCAAATGAATCAGCTGGCATCCTTTCTGGGCTTTTCAATATTGTTACACTAAAAACAATGAGCTAACAATACAAAACCAAGATATACTTCAAGGGGTTGGACCCGTATGGAAGAGTTAAGAAATACAAATTTAATAGAGATGGAAACATCCCCTTTTTCACACAATTCCCAACCTGCTGTAACTGCTATTGCCAAAGCTTCCCCTTTTAATCCTTAAAAACTAACTTCTCTCTTTCCACTAATTGTAAAGGATCTGAAAGTTCCTTCAGCTATACCTCATTAATGCTGATGACTGCAGCCAACTGATATCCTAGCTCAGAGTTTCTCAAAATAGACATACCCCTCATGGTATGAGGTAAATGTTTAGAATGTACATAAACACATCCCTAGCACAAAACAAACTCCAGGCTTCCTAAACACATCTGGAATCCCAGAGTTCCTTGTTCCTCAGGATGTAGCTAAAAGGAACAAGGATATTCCTAAAGACTAGAAGGGACATGAAGGGCAACCAGGGTATGCCAGTCCATCAATAAAACTTACCAGAGATGTAGATGAGGGTCAACATGCAGGAGGGCGAATTTCAGAATTATATACGATATATATTATACACACATATATATAAAGGGCTTATTCTATCTGCCTGGGTGTGTCTGTCCACAATGCTCTATAAATTCCAATAGCTTGAAAAAACAGTAAGGGATAAGCAGACAAGGTTCTTTGGGTGAATCTGATATCTTTTATTAGACCGATTTAAATACTTGGGGAAAAATTTTTTAGCAAGCTTTGGGTTTAAAAACCCTTCGCCGGCTGAGGAAGTCTCTGCAGTTGGTGTGCACTCTTCCTCAATGAAACTTCCATCCAGATGGATCTTCCATCCAGGAAGAGCACACACCAACTGCAGAGACTTCCTCAGCCTGACCAAGGGTTTTTAAACATGGAAGCTTGCTAAAATTATTTTTTCCAACTATTTAAGTTGATCTAATAAAAGATATCAGAGTCACCCAAAGAACCTTGCCTGCCTATGTCCTTAGACCAACACCACTACAACCTACACCCCTGTAAGAGATAGAAGATTTGTGTCTTCAGAGAAATTTGCCAAACCTTTGCATTTGTTTAGTGACCACGTCAGGATGATCCCAACTTCCAGAACTTGGAAAAAAGTTGGAGGCCAAGGCTGTTTCTACTGAGCTCCTCCCAGGAGGGCGCTGAGAGCCCGGCATGGCAGGGTGGGCAGAGGGAGGGGTCAGCTGAGGAAAAGCAGGAACCACGCAGAGGTACGAAGTAGTAGATGAACAGCAGCGGCCCCATCCTGCACCCCGAGAAGGGAAGGAGGTGCCCAAGAGCAGCGTGGAAGAAGCTCGAGGGTGTAGGCGGCTGTTGTGCAGCGCAGAGCTTGCCTGCCCTTGCCCAGCAAAGAGGTGCACAGGCGGCAGCACAGGTGGGTCCACCTCCAGCCCACTGGATAAGAACAAGTGCAGGAAGGGACTGGTATCTTCAAATGTTAAGCCAATTTTGCTTAAGTTTTATAAATATTTATTTAATAAATATAAAAAGTAAAATCTGGTTGTTTTTTTTTATTTGAAATTCACCCATCATTCTTGATGGCCAATTCACTAGTTCACAACTAATGAATAAAGACAAAAAAATCCAGGAGAACTGAGAGATTTGGGAGAGCACTGTAGAAAAAAAGAACAGAACACTTGAAGAAAAAAATAAAAATGAAGAGTGGTGATAGTAGGAACACTATTATTTACTTATGCTTTTTATTTAAAAAGTCCACGCTTTTAAGGATGTGAATTCAGTAGGTGACCAATAAAGTTTTCACTTTTTTTTTTTTAGTTCTGGAAGTG